ATTGTCATTAAATGCTGGTGAGCTAAATCCAATCTAATATTAACGTCTTAAGTCAATGTTTTTCTGCTGAGTTATATTGTAAAGCTGCAATTATATACATGTAATAATATGAAAGTTTTTTTTTTTACTTGTAGGCTATATGTGTAGGCTAAATGTGAGTCTCTTATAAAGATTAATCATGTTGAAAGCATTGCTGTATCATTAACTATTCTGTGCAAATTCCTAGGCTATTCTGTGTTCCCTATATTCACCAGTAAGAATGCCATTTTAGGGTGCTTTCACACTAGCACTTTTGGTTTATGTTTAGCAAGTGTGACCATGTCTCCTGAACTCGGGTGTGCACCCACGAACCATACCGCCTGAAAGAGGTGGTCTGGGGTACTGTTTACGCGAAGTCTAGTCGATTTCACTTCTGGTATGGATGCAATTGTACCAAATAACGGAAGTGAACCGCCAACGTTCATTTGTGTGTGTATCACATACTGTACTTCACTGACAAGTGGAAGTGAGCCAGGGTTAACACAGTAATAATGTCTGCTTGTCTCTTAACAGCTTCTGCAGACATCACGTTATGTTCTAAATGTATATAATATTTTGCTTGCAGATGGACACGAGTCGCTTTTTGTATGTTCAAAACCAAAAGATTGAGTAAAAGCTGAACGACTGGATGTGTGGACATCTTACCATTTTGGCGCTTTCCTTTTGTGTCAATCACCTAGCAACAGCCGTACACACAACAGCAGCTCGATGATGCAAGCATACCAGGGTTCAGAATGAATAAAGACAATTTGAACACAAACCAACTGAGGAGTTGGCAAGGGGGACAATCAAAATTTGTGTATGGTCCACGCATTGAATCAAGTGGGAAAGCACCCTTATTTGTGTTTTGTTTGGTAAATCTCACAGACAGATTACATTAAAAATATTGAGAATACCCTGAAAGTTATTTAATCTTTATCGAGCTGTCTAGTAATTGATTTCTGAAGTATACAAGTTTTCATTCATTCAGTTTTCTTTTCGGCTTAGTCCCTTTATTAATCTGGGGTTACCACAGTGGAATGAACCGTCAATTTATCCAGCACATGTTTTTTTTTTTGCAGTAGATGCCCTTCCACCTGCAATCCATCACTGAGAAACACTCATACACTCTCAGGCCCCGTTTACACTAGTGCGTTTTAGTTTTAAAATGGCATTTTATATCAAAAACGATCCGCATCCACAGTAGCATTTCACCTAGTGTTTCTGAACAAATCTCCGTCCACACTACGCCACCAAAAACGTAAATCACATGACCATTCGCGCTCTCTGGGCATGCGGGTTCTAGTATAAACAGGAAACATGTGTCTCGCTCGGCATTTGGTTATTGTTAGTCAACAAACTAAATGTAACAAATAAATAACTGCTCAATGGCACCTAAAACAGACAATAGTGCAAACAACGTTCACATTTCTGTGTCCATGTTGTTGTTTACAGTAAAGGCTGGTCTACTGTCTGCCGGTAGCATTAAAGCCAAGTGTTATAGTCATGGGATAGAGGCTTGACTACTTTCATAGTGCATTATGGTTATTTTCTAGCTGTTGAGTGTACATGGATTGTACAATCGTTTTGCTGTGTGCATTGTGGGAGTTATTAAAACATCCATGGTTTCGGACACCTCAGAAAATGGCTGCTCCCTCAAATTCTGACATGAATACAGAACGGATATACACATTAAAGCTTATTATTATTATTATTATTTACTTTTTAATTCTGTGAGTTATTATTAATTAGGGGCAGCACAGTGGCTCAGTGGTTATAATAGTCACCTCACAGCAAGATGGTTGCTGGTTTGGCTTTAGTTGGCATTTCTATGTGGAGTTTGCATGTTCTCCTTTTGTTCACGTGGGTTTCCTTCGGGTGCTCCGGTTTCCCCCACTGTCCAAAGACATGCGCTATAGATGAATTGGATTAACTAAATTGACAGTAGTGTAAGAGTGTGTAAGAGTGTTATTGGGTTGCAGCTGGAAGGGCATCCGCTGCATAAAACATATGCTGGATTAGTTGGTGGTTCATTCCTCTTTGGCGACCCTCAAATAGAGACTAAGCCAAAGGAAAATAAATAAATGAATGATTAATTAGTCACTGATTTACATACTGTAGGCCTATGCCATAATTGCATTGAAAGCACATTATATATCTTCCACATAACCCATTTGTTCTCATTTTTCGTAATGAAATGAGAAATCAATTTGCCTCCATCTGTTTCTTCCAGTAATAGAAGTGACACTTTCATGTATTTCTAGACAGTCTCTAGTGTGGTGGACTCATATCGAACTTTTACTATTGATATCATACACTCAGGTGTTAAAAATGAGGGGTCCCACCAGCACTCGAGGTCAAACATCTCACACTGTTTGCTTTAAGCAGCAGGGATGACTAGTGATTTTCTACAATAAGGTCCAGCTGTATTGATTTCACTGCTCTATTATTTATTGACTGACAGTCTGTCTGATTGACATGAACCAGCAGTGCAGCTAAACTGAACCAGCTTTTTGTAGGTGTGGTTTGTAAGTTACAGTACTCCTTTCAGTGATTTCTTTTAGTATTTCTTTAAAAAAAAAGGAGGTATATGCATATGTAAATGCCAGTTCTCATTAATTAAAATGATGATCTTCATTACATTTTTATGATCTTAGTAATTATTAATGCAAATGTTATGTATAAATTGGTTTCCCAGGAATGGCTGTTTTGGGGTGTCGACGTCTGGCCCGGCTGACCCTGAGGCAACATTCACACTGGGACCTTTTTAACAGGACATTTTCACAATGAAAAGTCACTTATAGTAACAGCGGAAAAACAAAAGAAGCATACATCTGTCGAGAGCTTATTAGAAAGACTTGATGAAAAGCACATGTTGACTTTGTTTATGGTAGAATTGACTCAAATTATGTATTCATATTTAAAGTTAAAGGTTTATTTCTTTTCGTACCTTAAAACATTTGTAGTCTGTTATTCATTTATTTTTTTAATACGTAAACTATTGACAATCATGCAGTTTGTTTCGCAAGAAATCTTGTCGGTTTTATTTGGAGTATGCAGTGGCGCAGTAGAGCTGTTGCCTCACAGCAAGAAGATCGCTGGTTCGAGCCTCGGCTGGGTTAGTTGGCATTTTTGTGTGGAGTTTACATGTTCCTTCCGCGTTTGCGTGGCGTTCCTCCAGGTGCTCTAGTTTCCCCCACAAGTCCAACGACATGCAGTACAGGGGATTTGGGTAGGGTAAATTGTAGTTTATGAGTGCAAATGCTGTGTGTATGGATGTTTCCCAGAGATGGGTTGCAACTGGAAGGGCATCCGCTGCGTAAAACATGTGGCGACCCTGGATTAATAAAGGGACTAAGCTGAAAAGAAAATGAATGAATGAATGAATGAATGTTTATTCTTTGCATCTGTTTTTACCATTTTTTCTCAGTAGGACGTTTTTAATCAATTACAATATAATATAAATTCAGTATTTTCACATATTGACATATTTTATACAAAGATATTACTTATCTTTAATATTATAAGATATAACATTTGCTTAAAATTTAATTGTATTTATGCAATACCCTTTTCACTGTAATACATATTGTATATCTCTCGTTTAACCTCAGAAATGTTAACTTCTCCTTGCCCTTACCCCTCTCATCATCTTTTTTGCACTACTATATATCTTCTTACATTAATATTACATCTTGTATATATCTCTTGTTCAACCTCTAGAACTGTTTACTTCACTTCCCTACTCTCCTCATCCCCTTTTTTGCACTACTGTTTATCATCTACAGTTATTACATTGTATATGTGACAATAAAAGGCATTCTGTTCTATTATATTCTATTTTTAGGCAAAATAAGTATTTTGTTTTTGTACCTAAATATTAGTTACACTGAATGACAATTATTATTATTTCATCCATATTTAGGCTGTTTATTACCTCCAAACTAACTCAAAACATTAATGCACTGCAAAAACACTGCAAAAATATCTGTGAATAAGCAGATTTACGTATTTTGAGAATTGTGTATTTTGTTATTGTTTATTTATGCCTTTTAATAGGATTATATGATCTAGATGTTCTCTTCAATAACTACTGATGTTGAGGAGTTTACTGACGTTTATTGACAATTTAATAGTTTGAAGTGATACATTGTCTTGGTTGGTTTTGTAAATTATGATGCAAAACCTGGTAATAAACTGCCAAAACTGCCAGTATTTTATGGACTTAATTCTACATATATTATTTCAAACTACTTAAATGTGAATTAAAGTCACATTGTTAAACTGCAGAACTGAATATTCAACATTAAAAGTAGACAAAGCAGAGATCAAAGTCCCATAATGCATTTCATTGGTGTAAATAAACAGAAAACACCCATGAATCACGTAGTACAGAAACTCAATAGCATTTTGTTTTATCACCGCTCTTCCAGTGAGAGTGGCTGAGCTCAAGCACGTCATATAAGAAGTATCTTGAAGGGGGCGGGGCATGTCAGATACTAGAGGGCTTTTTATTGGTCATGATTTAGTGAGAAACTAAAGGTATGAATAAAACCGTTGATCCATTTAGGCCAGGGTCTGTCCCGGGGGGCTGTTTTCATGCAGATTTTAGCTCCAACTTGCCTTAGCACACCTACACGGATGTGTTTAAAAAGCCTAGTAAGAGCTTGGTTAGCTAGCCCAGATGTGTCTGATTGGGGTTGGAACCAAACTTTGCAGGACACTGGCCCTCCAGCACAGAGTTTGGGCACCCCAGATTTAAGCGGTTGTGACAAACTATAAGCTTAACATGTTTATATCAGTTTTATATTTTCTAAATGCTAATTTTTTCTCTGTTTTGGTGCGCACTAGCTTATGGATATCCTAAAAACAAACAATACTATTATCAACATCTAAAACACTTCATGGGACCTTTATAGTGAACAGCAAATGAATAATGGTACAAGTCAGATCTGAGATACAGTACACAAGAAATCCCTTCATATTGTACTGTTGTGTTTTTATTCATAATGATCAATACAAAATACAAAAATAAATCGTTACATTAAAAAAATCCTTATATTTTTTAAAGTGGCTCAAAAACATTACAGCAATCGGGCATTTGAGTCAAAACGTCAGAACAAGGTGTGTTAGATAAACGTGTGATGAAACCAAAAACTCACATTCACATCTCTTCATCATGTGGCTAAAAACAAAACACGCTATACGGAATACATACAGTAATATTAACTTAGTCTACAAAATAGCTTGCGGTTCAGTTTTGGTCCCTGTTCAACCCATTCACTGACAGCCATTTAGTGCTGGAGAATATTTACAAGTTGATCCATACTGCAGCCAGTATGAGGGCACTCGACAGTGAAGATCGGTATGTAAATGCTGTTCATTAAGGCCTGAGTCATGAAATGTCGCAGACAGAAATTATAAGCTGCCATGGCGTGATTGCATTACAACACCAGGTTATTCACACACACGTTTTCTTCTTGAATTTCAGTGTCTGGTGTTTGCTACACACAGGTAGCTGTAAGAAACTTGAATACAGGAAGCTTTGATTCTGTTTCCTGTGGTAGCTACCTTCATTAAAAGTCTCTGTTCCAAAACCTTGCTATCTACTGCCAATGTAGTGCACTACACAACAGACATCACAGTAACTATCATAAAAGTAATTTATTTTAAATGTTATACAAATTTGTCGCCTCACAATTGATTTTAAACAGTTATGTAGTTGATGTTAGCTTCTAGCAATGCATTTTGGCATTGCTTTTTTTGGCAATTTATTTATATCTTTTCTTTAGATAGGTGACTTTGTAGGTTTTGGAATAGAAATAGCATTAGCATGTATTACCATAGGTCTATGCATAATTATAAAGTTAGCATTAGCCTTTGTGGATTGCATAACTTTAGCATGCTGAATCACAAAATTAGCATTAGCATTCTGGATTATTAGTATTTGTGGTGAACTTTTAGACACCCAAATGCAACAAGAAACAAATATTTCTATTGTTGTTAACATGAATGTAATCTATTTAGAGTTTGAAATTCATTAAACGTCAGCCATCTTGGATCTTTACTTGAGAGTATTTCATTCTGCGATTAGTTTATTAGTTAAATATAAGTCATTGCTTTAAAAACGTTGGTAGGCTTAGCGGTTTGTTTTGATTTTGCAAAAGAGTGTGATTTAGCATTTCTGGATTACAGAGCTAGCATTGGCATTGTTGATCACAGATATAATGTTACCATGTTGGACCAAAGAAGTAACGTTAGCTTGCTGGATCACAGATATAATATTAGCATTAATGAACGACAGAATAAGTGTTAGCATTGTTTGACCAGAGAGCTAGCGTTAGCAATCTGGATGATTAGTAAGTATGGTGAGCTTTTAGACACTCAAAGCAACGAGCAACAAATGCTTTTTTGTTTCTAATGTTGCTAAGATTAATAAAATCTATATAAACATTAAACGTCCACCATCTTGGATCTTTAATCGAGAGAATTACATTCTGCAATTAGTTTATTTGTTAAATACAAGTAATATTGCTTTTAAAAAGTTAGCTTTGGTGTCTTGGTAAGTGGTTTGTTTTGGTTTTGGAACAGAGTGTGAATTAGCATTGCTGGATTGCAGATATAATGTTAGCATGTTGGAACAAAGAGGGTAACATTAGCTTGCTGGATCACAAAGCTAATATTAGCATTAATAGACAACAGAATAAATGTTAGCGTTGTGTGACCAGAGGGCTAGTGTTAGCATTCTGGATCATTATGTTGAGCTTTTAGACACTCAAAGCAACGAGCAACAAATGTTTGTTTTAAATGTTGTTAACATTAATGTAATCTGAGTTTAAAATTCAGTGAACATCTGCCATTCTGCGATTAGTTTATTTGTTAAATACAAGTCATATTGTTTTAAAAAAAGTTTTTTGCATGTGATGTTTTGGTAAGCAGTTTGTTTTGGTTTTGGAACAGAGCATTAGTATTGCAGGATTGCAGAGCTAGCAAGAATTTACATTGTTTACCACAGATATAATGTTAGCATGTTGGACCAAAAAGGCTAGTTTGCTATATCACAGAGCTAAAATTACCAAATTACTACAGAATGAGCTATAGCAATGTTTGACCACAGAGCTAGCATTAGCATTCTGGTTCACAGAGCTTAGGTTAACATTACTGGACCACATAATGAATTTTAGCATTGTTTGCCCAAAGAGCGAACATTGCTGGGCAATAAAGCTTATTTTAGCATTACTGGACCACAAAGCAAGGATAAGCATGAGCTAATGTTAACAATGCTTGGCCTCAGAGCTAATATTAGCATTGTTTTATCACAGAACTGGTGTTAGCACTGTTGTTTCACAAAGCTATCACGATCATAGCTGAATCACAAAGCTAGCATAAGCCTGCTGAATAATTCATGTGAGCTTTAAGCACTTATACTTAAGCCTAGAGCAGCAAAACGATGCAAAATTGAGCTTGAACAGGGGCAGTTTTACCTTTCTGCTTGCTTTTTTGTTTTCACTTGCAAACGTCCCTTACTAACCTCAAACTATCCTATAACTAAACATCCCTCACAGCTAACACACAAATCCACAAACTCTCATTTTTACTGTCCTTTAACCGAGTAAATATCTTCCTGGCCTTCACATTCAGTCACACAGACTCGTGCGAGGGTAAATATTAGCAGTGTGCAGCAGCGATGGAGGCGTTCGGTGTATGTGTGTGTGTGGTGAGCTGATGCTCTAGAGGCAGGTTCAGGTGAAGAAGTGCTGTTTGTGCAAGCAGTCCAGAAAGAGGAAGAGTGATCAGCGAGTGTGAGACTCCAGGACACGGGACTCTTTGGACTTTAGAGATTCTCCGCTGTCCTCCTCGCACATCCTCGTCTGTTTACTCTGAGCGTTTCTTCTTTATTCTAAAAAAAAAAGAGAAGGAAAATTCAGATCAGAAATTCAGATTACTTTTTTCATGTGTTTTTAAGATCGATGGCATGGTGGTTCAGTGGTTAGCACTGTTGCCTCACAGCTAGTAAGTATCTGGTTCGACTCCCGAAAGGGCCAGTTGGCATTCTGTGTGGAGTTTGCATGTACTCTTCATGTTGGCATGGGTTTCCCCACAGTCCAAAGATATTCACTATAAGTGAATTGGATTAACTAAATCAGCCGTATTGTATGTGTGTATGTGTGTGTGTGTGTGTGTGTGTGTGTGTGTGTGTGTGTGTGTGTGTGTGTGTGTGCACGCAAATGTGAGAGTGTATGGGTGTTTCCCAGTACTGGGTTATGTAAAACATTACCGAATAGTTGGCGGTTCATTCCACTGTGGCAACATCTGATAAATGAGAGACTAAGCCGAAGGAAAATAAATGAGTCTTTTTCAGACAATTGCACTGATCTTAAATATATCAGTGCCTTTGTTTTTTCTCAGTAATTACACCAGTAATTATTTTGTCAGAGGCACATTTAAAACATGACTTATTGGCTATATGGCCAAACTATATGGCCTAATCCTGGTTCAGTCTAAGCTCTGTCTGTGAAACCAGGCCATAAGATTTTTATGAGTTTTAGAGATGTTACATTATAGAAATGATAGTAAATAATTTTTATATAAATACATATTGAATAAAAATAGAACATAAATTGTTATTCTTATTCATGATTCTTAATTAACATTTACATATTTTTCATTTAAGCAAAAACAGTTTATAAAGCATTTATTAAGTTATTAAACTCAAGATTAATTTAGATATTGCTAGACAATTTATGAACTATTTATCAATTTTAACGCATTTTTTTAAAGCTTTTAGTTTTATTCATTTTATTTTTGTAATTTTAGTAAAAGTAGTAATTTTAGTATTTAAATCAATTGTCTATTAGTTATCAAAGCAGCATTTTTCATTTTTAGTTTTTCATATTTCATTCATACTTATGCAATATTTAACTTTTTATTTTTTATTTTAATTTTATTCATTCATAATTTTATTTTCAGCTTAGTCCCTTTATTAATCTAGGGTTGTCACAGCGATGAACCACCAACTTATCCAGCATATTTTTTACACAACGGATGCCTTTCCAGCTGCAACCCATCTCTGGGAAACATTCATCCACACTCATACACTATGGACAATTTAGCCTACCCAACTCACCTGCAGGTCTTTGGACTGTGGGGGTAACTGGAACATCTGGAGGAAACCCACATGAATAAAGGAAGAAACATGCAAAATCCACACTAAAATGGCAACTGACCCAGCCAAGGCTCAAACCAGTGACCTTCTTGCTGTGTGTGTCAGTTGGCATTTCTGTGTGGAGTTTGCATGTTCTCCCGTGTTTGTGTGGGTTTCTCCGGGTGCTTCGGTTTCCCCTACAAGTCCAAAGACATGCAGTACAAGTGAATTGGGTCATATATATATGTTAAACTAAAAATGTAATACTTTATCAGATTTATTTTAGTTAGCAAAGTATTAAATAAAAACAGTATTTCTCCAGACTAATGTATTACGATCAGCACATATGTATTTTTTTCTTTGTATGATTTAACAGCATCAGTCATTTTGTCTGTATGCCTCAATAGGAGGTCGTGAATAATAGTGACGTAAAACTCTCTGTTCTGCTGTTCCCTCATCATTAATCTACAATTAGTGTAATTAAAGAACAGAGGTTAAATGCTAAAGGCTACATGGTAGAGCTTAATCACCTATTTAAATATATGCGTCAACTTATATAACCTTAAATTACCCAATAACATTCCACATATGCCACTTAAATGTAAGGAAAGAGTCAGACAGCATGCATGTAAACTGGAGGTATGATTTTAATAGTTAAAAAAAAGAGCTTGAGGGCATTTACCTTACAAATGATTAATGCTCAATTCAAATGCTTAAAAAAAAAAAAAAAAAAAAACGTATGGATTTTGGTTATTAATTTGCATGACAATAGAGACTGTCCACAACTGTGGAATTTGAGTCATATTTACTTTATTAGTCGTTTCAACTTAAGTCAATAAATCTGACTTATTAAAATGACAATTAAACATTTTATTGAAAAACATGTTAAATTTGGTATTACCTAAAAATGTTTTTTAACTTGTTTATTTGGAATGTTTTAGCTTTTTTAAAGTTTTAAAATAACCTTCAGCATATTTTAAAGTGTTAAAATAATATAAACACACATGTTGTCAAAACTTTTTGTTTTGATATTTTGATTATACTAATTTTAATCTGTTTTTAATCATTTTTATTGTTTTTTTTTATTTTCTTAAACTTGTCTTTTTATTCTTGTTTATGTAAAGCACTTTGAATTGCCAAATGTGTTACATAAATAAACTTGCCTTGCCTTGCCTATATGATGTTTTTACAATGTTTAAAAAAGCCTTTTTATTAGTTTATTTTTATTTACATTTTTTTGTCCTTTTGAGGGCATGAAATTATCCAATCTGGACTATTAGAAACCTTAATTGAATACATGTGTGTATCACTAGAGCTAGATTTAGCATTGCTATTGTTAGCATGATGTGTCAGTTCTGTGTTTGTGGTTGTTTTCACAAATCTTTGTGAAAAGCGAATGTTTTGACATTATTGTCTGTATGTGAAACTGTTTGTTGTTGTGTAAATGTCAATGCTGATGCATTCTTATAAGTTCAGGGCAACGCAAAAAGATCTTTTTAATTGCAATTAATCCAGCCTGATCTCACGAAAAAATTTAACTGTTTTACGTTTTGTGAGTTTAGTGGTTAATTTATACAAATTCATGGCTTCAGTCGTACAAAAATGTACGACTTTAAAAAGGAGGCGTGGCACCCAACCCCACCCCTAAACCCAACCATCATTGGGAAATGAGCAAAACATACGAAATTGTATGAATGAGAATGCACAAATTCATTCGAATTAGCCACTAAATAAAAAAGCTACTAATTTCCAGGAGATAGCATTGGATTAGTATTGGTTTCTCAGTGTTTTTTCTTATGATTTTGCCACCCCTCCTGTGACCTGTAGTTTGTCTTTATGTGTATTCATAGCCAGTCATCAATTGACTTTTAAAAGAATAATAAAACAATTATATTTAACATGCGATAAAATAATTTTCAGCGTAAATTATGCTTTATACTTGCCCAGCTCTAATTCTTATATTTAAACTGATGACAATTGCGTAAAAATAACAAATTGCAAATGGTGTAAATTTCACAAACAACAATCACAAATCTAAACTCGAGACATTCACTAATTGTCCCAGTTCTGACTTTACACTGTAAAACCCGATAAGTTAAGTTAACTTAAACTGTTTGAGGAAACCGGTTGCGGAAAGTCACTTAAGTTTTGACACATTAGTATTGTATGGTTACGGTTTGAATGTTATTGTAAACTTATATATTGTGTCACATACACACATATATCATTTGTGTTGATATCATCAGACTTTTAGGGTATTAGTAACAAACATTTTATCCTCACTTATCAAATCACTATTAGTTCAATTAACTTAAAATAATTTCAAACAACTATATAGCTACTCAAATTGGTTTGGTATTCCTTCTAGCATTAGAGTTATGTTAATACAAAAAATATAATTACTTCATTCATAACTCATTCGATTAGAGTTTATGAGATACCAAAACTCTTTTTCATTGAGTCAAGGAAACTTTTTTAGTATTATAAAGTAAACTTACTTATTTTATTTAGTGATTTTCTCTTTTTTACAGTGAACTAAAAACATATATAAACATAGACATGCTTTAATAATTAAATTTTGCATTAGTTTGAAATGTAACAAAACATTTTACATATGCATTAGTGGATTTTTAGTGGATGCATTAGAGTTGCATTTTAATCTAAATGACTTGATATTATGAGAAATATACACTTTCTTACGTTGTAAAAATGGTTGCTGCTTTAATTTTTTTAGTTGAATCAGAAATAAATATTCTAGTCATCCCAACTTACATCAGTCAAACTGACTAAAAATATTAAGCTAACAAAATTGAGTTCAATAAAAATAATTTTAATAAACAGAAAATATTTGTTGTTGTGACTTTTTGTCATTATATTTTTATTATATTTTTTACAGTGTTTATAATTTTTTTAAATGATTGTCCATCATGAATTAGTCTACGTTTTAAGTATTGTTTTAAGGACTGGTGATTCTCATGAAACCCTGGAATAAAAGTTTTTTCTTACTTGTTAAGGGCATTCTTTAGATACTGCTGAAGCCATTTGGTCTTTGGGTTGATGCAGACCTCTCTGTTGTTCTTCAGCTTGGCACTGGTAATGAGAGAGAGAAAAGAAGGGATTTGTTTCAGACGAAAGCAGAATGGAGGCTGAACCTTCCTCCCTGAGCGCCTCTACAGTGTGTTTTATCAGATCATATCAGCTGGTCGTCATGGACCACATTTCAGTCGCTCTATTCTACTCTATACCGCCCTCCATCTGATAACAGCACTCAATTAAAGCCCTTTCGTAAGGACAGTGTTGTGCTGTCTGGAGGTTTGCCGTTTTCCAGGGTCCGAAAGATTCCTGCTGTATACGTGTATATAGATTGACTATAGTGGTACACTGTTAAACTCAAAAAGTTGAGGTAACTCAAACCATTTAAGGAAACCGATTGCAACAAACCATTTAAGTAAAAACTAATCCTAATGAGTACTGTGAACGTAAATGAGTAAACGAAGCAATTTGAGCACAGAAAAACTCAATAAATGAAGAGAACTCAAACCAAGTGAGTTCTGTAAAACCCAATAAGTTAAGGCAACTCAAACCATTTGAGAAAATAAAACGAGTGTAGTTAACTCAAAATTTTTTTAAAGTTAATTCTGCTTATTTGAAAAGAGTTTTGAACTTATTGTTAAAGTTAATGAGTTAATTAAATACCTCATTACTTCAACTTAAGTAAAGTAAGTACACAGAACTCATATAGATTAGTTTTTTTTACTCAAATGGTTTGTTGCAATCGGTTTCCTCAAACGTTTTGAGTTGCATTAACTTATTGAGTTTTAAAGTACTCAGTTTGTTTTGAGGTCTCTTCATTTATTGGGTTTTACTGTGCTCAAATTGCTTTATTTATTCATTTGGATTAAGTTCACAGAACTCATTAGGATTAGTTTTTGAACTTTAATGGTTTGTTGCAATTGGTTTTCTTAAATGTTTGAGTTAACTTAACTTTTTGGGTTTTACAGCATACTTAAAGTACATATTTACATGATCATATTCTACATGCTGAATCAATGCTTAAATCCAGGTGCAACCATGATATCTATTATAATCAGCAAGTTAGGAGTGTATTGAGGCAATAGTTAATTTTCATAGTTTGTTAATAGTCAGAATTGTACCCTAAATAAATACCAAAGTTATATTTGCAATGCTTTGCTTTTTCATAGAAATGCTAAAATAGTATTTTACATTTTTGCAATGTGGTAAAAGTTGTATTGGTAGTAATATAAATGTTTACTTAACTCTAATGACTGTGGAATTGTGAAAAGCATACATTAGTGATCATTCAGTGTGAGATGGATCCATTAAATAGGCCTGTTTTCAAGCATTAATTACCATGCTAGTCTCAGAGTAAACAATGCTTGATGTGAGATATTCAGTTTTAAAGACAAAGAGAAAGTCAAGAATCTGAAAGCTCCTCAATCTGAAGTCTTTCGGTTTGATATCTGACCTCCAAATAAGCTTTGTCAAATCCTCTCAAACGCTCCGCTCCGCCACACACAGAGAAAACCACACAAATGACACCCAGACTTCACACCTCGCCGCCAAAAGGCTATGTTTGAGAATTAGCGGCTCACGTTGCCATTCAAATGGCTCTTATTCGTGTTTCTGACACCTCACACATGCATCTTCAAATCAGTCTAGACAAATGGAGCCCGTCAGCTCGGATAAAAGATCGGCTGAACTCCCAAATCTGCAAGTTAATCAACTTCCCCATCAGTAAGCTAACTCTGAGTGTAACACTATCTCTGCTTGCTTTCCGCCGGGATGTTTTCCATCTGTTTGTTTGTTTGTAATTTAGCTTTGAGAGTTAATCTAGCTAGTCTAAACGATCTTTTGCATGAGTCTGTCGGTGGTCTGGGCCTGAGCCAGCAGGTAGTAATTACCTCACAGCTAGCTAATGCTAACAACAAAATGAGTGATGTGCGGGGGAAAAGGCTAGGTGGCTGTCTTTCATCTCGGCCAACCAATCCCAAAGCATTTCTAAACAAGATGTGTGGAAGACGGCAGATTAAAGGTGATTTCCTCCGGCCCCAAAGTTTGTTCCATGAATGACCCTGGGCTACATGCTAACCCCTCTAACCCCTGTAACCTTGATCCGCCTGTAGCGATTTGGCTTTTTGCTGCCCGACGGGGTACAAATGGTCCGGTTTAATACATTCCAGACGGCTGAAGTAATACCAAATGCTGGTAAAAATGAAAACGACAAGGTCGCTCACAACACAGAGCTAATCTTTTTGACCCTCAGAGATTATTGAGTCGTGAAAACCAGAATCGATGTCTCGTAACTTCTCGTTTGCTCGTTTTTGGTGTTTTGCTGTTATTAAAGAATGGCAGAATTCTGCTTTCCCACACTGATTTGACTCATAACAAAAAAATGTGACGTTTAAAAGCTGTTTCTGGAATTTCAAATGTCTTTTATATTATATAACTCATATATATTGCAGTCATACACCTCATTTTCTATTTAATTGTAAGTTTTAAATACTGCATTTTAGTGACATTTTATGCTCTATTTTTTAGCTGCACTCGCTTGTCGAATGGCCAACATAACCTCACTTTCTGATGTGTCAAAAATATTTTCTTAAGATTTATTGACGATTAAGAATAAAAGTTAGCTGTATGTTTTCTCAGTTTAAAAACAATGCAGTAGCGAAAGATGACTTCTCCTACTGGAGCTTGTAAAATGAAAATGTTTGTTAGCATTGGCCAAATTTGATAAGCTGAATTCACACCACAGAGTATTCTGCTTGGTCTTATAAAATAAAGTAAATAAAACAGAAGTATACAGTGCTCAGCATAATTGAGTATAACCCATGAAAATGAATAGGCAATGTATTTTGCTGCATTTAAACAAAATAGATTTATTAAACAGATATGTTTATCAAAATAATATTTTATTCACCAAACATATTTAGAAATTGAAAAATAATACAATTAAATTCAAGCTAAATTTTTTGCTTCTCTTGATTTTTCTTCTTTTTAAAATTTATATTTAATATTTTTATATACCATATAAATTTGGGTGTACTAGTTTTTGCATCGTTATCGCAAGTTGGTTCATTAGATAAGCTCCATATTTGGCTTCAGTACTGATTAATCTAATGTGAATCCAGAAATATAATATTGTTTAGCTTCCTATTAAGATTATGAATTTAAAAGAGAGATTTGTGAGGGTATACTTATATATGCTGAGCACTGTATGTCTTTAAAATAATCTATGAAAGATTGCCTGATAGAATTTGTCTTCTTTCTTTTTTTAGGGAGAATTTATTTTCTCCAGTTCTTAATATTTCATTACATTCCTCATTAGATGTATGGATGTAGGAGCAGCTTTCTGTTTCCAGTTTAATAATATTAACCTCTGTGCTTGTAGACTGACAAATGGAACAATATTTTGTTCGGTACTGTTTTTAGCTTTCTCAAAATCAATTATGCATAAACCTTCAATAAGGAGATCTGGATCTATCGGCTTTTGACATATTCTTGAGAATGTTAGAAAAATGTTTTCCCAGTAAGATGATAATTTTGAGCAGCTCCAAAAATGTTAAACTACTTTTGTTTGGAAGAAACTCTTAACAACTCCAACCTTTGTGTGTTTAAATGTTAGTCAGTTGATTTTTAAATATCATTATTAGTCCTTGCTTTTCTTATTATTCTCATTCATTTATGCAAATATATCTTAAAACATATTAATCTCTAATTGATACATTCAACATTTCCTTTGTAAAACATACATTTGTAATATAATATAATATAATATAATATAAAATAATATAATATAATATAATATAATATAATATAATATAATATAATATAATATAATATAATATAATATAATATAATATAATATAATATAATTATTTTGTGTTCAACAGAAAAAGAAAGACAGGTTTGGAACAAGAGTAAAGGATGACAGAATTCTCAGTTTTGGGTGAACTATCCCTTTAAAGTGCCCTTTGTCTGGTGTAACCTGATTAAGTGTAGTAAAATGGAGTAAAGTGTCTCACATGACTTGGAAAGGGCAGCTGGGAGTGTGAAGGAACTTGATCTCTCGGATGCTCCGTTGCGGGACGGTGTTGAGGGTGGAGCGACACCAGCACCTCTCCACCAGACTGATGGGCTTTGCTAAAAAACAACACAAACAAACAGACACTTATTAGAAAAACAAATCAAACTCAATACATTCTTAAGTTTAAGACTAAGGAAGCAAGCCCTTAATAGTCACTAAGAACTTTAGTGAAAGTGAAAGTTTTCTTCACTGATACATTCACCCAAAAATAAAAAGGCTGTCATCATTTACTCTTCCTTCACTTGTTCAAAACCTTTGAGTTTCTGTCCTCTGTTGAACACAAAAGAAGATATTTTAAAGAATGCTGGTTGCTGGGAACCATTGACTATTTATTGTAGGAAAAAAATAATATGTAAGTCAGTGGTTTCCCGCAACCAGCATTCTTCAAAATATCTTCTTTTGTCTTAAACAGGGAAAAGCAACTCATGCAAAATGATGACTGAGATTTTCTTTTTTGGGTGAACTACCCCTTAAACCACACATCAAGAAAACCACATTACAAAAGACTTTGGTTTGTTTCAAATAAATAATAATGTTTTGTTTATGTAACGTTTCGCAGGATCAAATCATAATACTAGATGATTTCTGAAATATTGTGTGACACTGAATACTAGAGTAACAATGCTGAAAATGCAGCTTTATGATGGTCAATAGGGAATTTGATGTGTGCCTGGAAGAAATAATACATTCATAAAGGAATAAACATCATCTTCCAGCAATACATGAGCACTGAGGTCATTGCAAAACCAAAAGCCAACATTTCATTTACAGTAACGAACTGAAATACACCACCATGACACATTGGATAATATATTCTTTGGCTGATTTCTAATAAAATAGAAACTTCTAAATATATTCAAATTCTAGATATACATTTTAAATGGATTTTTTTTTTCATAAGAAGCTTTGGTCACACTTTGTTTTGATGGCCCATTTGTTTAATGTAAGTTACATTGCATCTACATGCCAACTAATTCTCATTAGATTAGGTAGATTGCTAGTTTAGAGTTAGTGTAAGTGGACATGTACTTGTAGTTTCTTATAGTCAGTTAAATGTCATGAAGGAGCAGTATCAACAGGTATTAAGCAGACAGTCTACTAATACTCAAACGGACCATCAAAATAAAGTGTTACCAAAGCTTCTTTTAAAATGTTCACTTTTCCTTTAGAATTTGACCATTTTTGGATGGTACATTTTTTTTCAAAATATAAATATTGCAAAAAGATGCTTAAATATCATGTAAATTATTTTTGTTTTATTACTATAGAGACAAAAAACAATTATTTCAGGAAATACAGCATAAAATAAATTAAATATTTTTAATATACACACAAATATTAGCTGCTGTTCAAACTACTCATTTAAAATGAGCTGAAAGCACATTTCTTGAGATTGTTTTGGACAATTTCATTGTTTTATGTTCAATTCACTTACATCCATAAAATCAATTAGGTTAACTTAATCAATTTGTGTTAAGACAACAAGAAGGAATTGTGTGGAACCCAGAAATGTTTACAGTATAAAATAATTAATTCCTTCACTTAAAGAGACAGTTCACCCCAAAATAAAAATATCTTGTTCATTTACTTACACCTAAGTGATTCTAAACTCTGAGTTTCTTTCTTCTGTTGAACACAAAAGAAAATATTCAGAAGAATGTAGGAAAAAACAGCCATTGACATCCATAGAAAAAAAATACAATGGAAGTCAATGGCTGTTTTTCCACCCAATACTTTTCTGAATATATTGTATTGTGTTCAAAACAGAAGAAAGACATTTATAAAAGTTGATAAACGATGAAGAAATATTCATTTCATTTAATTAATATTATATTTAAAAGTATGCTAATATAACATATTTATTCTTAAACCTTTGAATGGTTTATGGAAATATAAATTTGGTGTATTTAAACAGATTTTTTTTTAAAGAAATCAAAATGTTTAGATTCTTAACTATAAATTTAAAACTATAGATTTAGTCAAGTCAGTTAAATTCAATATGTAATGCATGGGCAAAATATTTATTAAGTTTACATTAAAAATAACATACACTGTAAAAAAAACCTGGTTGCCTTAAATTTTTAAGCTGAATCAAATTAACCTAATGAGTCCATTGAACTTATATTATGTTAAACTGACCCAAAGCAGCTTGCATAACTTAATAAATAAAAAAAATTAGAACAAGATTAACTTAGTTCAATAAGTTACAATGAACTAAAAACATACACTGTGATGACTAATTGATCATATAATGTTTTACAGTGTACATTTATCTACAACTAATGATAATAGTAATACAAAAAATCTACATTTTAAGATAAAACTGTAATAATAAATAATAATCAGTATACAGTTTTAGTCTCTCTCTCTTTATAAATAGCACACATCACATAAATCACATTTTAGACATTTAATTTCCATCCAAAACATTGTATAAATGATCTAAAAGCTTGAAATCAACACAAACCTTATCTTTTGCTTTTGCATTTTAACTTAATCATTTAGCAGTAGATAAAGAGCGTGCGTTCAGTTTGTGAAAGCGTGTGTAAGTGTTGGATCACCTGCGTCTCTGATCATTAAAAACAGATTAGCCTGCTCTTCTAGCGGCCCTCATTCACTTGTTCAGGGGCCACATTTTTCATAAAGAGCTCTTTTTAAAGGGCCCTCGGCAGGAAATCCAGCAGAAACTCTCAGATTGCTGCATTAAATGAATCGCTCTCTGAATTCCTCCACATCTCCTTGGTTTTCAGTAATGTCAAGCTCTGAACTTCCCATCAATATCTGAAGTCTGTGCGTTCTCTTTTGGGATGATAAACACAGCGGCCCATTAAGCTTTGACTAAACACAGCGCGAGTGAACTTTCTGTTTTAGTGTTCCCTAATTAGACAGTAATTAAAAGAGTTGGCGGATAAAGTAAACAGCTCTGGCTCCCTTTTTTTTTCACAATAAAGCCAAGTTCAGCTGATTAAACATCTCCGTCATCTGAGTTAAAGATGGTAACATGTAAAGACATGTGCTAAATGTGACCATGCATATGCAAATAAGCTGAAAGGTGATATTGATGGATGTGCTTAATGAGCATTAATAAGATAATGATCATTAGCCGGAAACATCGACTGTTGTTGAGAACTTGTTTAACAGTTTGGCAGTTTAAGAGAAGACAATAACACAGCAAAGCAGATTATTGAGTTTCTACTTTAAATTGTCTCATTTAAATAAAAGATTTACAGATTTATTTATTAAATTTACAATCATTTTTCAAGAGAAAATTGTTCTAGAAATAAATACTACCTAAAAGGATTGTTTTCAGTGTAGTGGATTTATATTCAGTAATAACATAAGTAGTTTTGCTTAAGTTTGTTGTGTTTGATATATATATATATATATATATATATATATATATATATATATATATATATATATATATATATATATATATATATATATTTTTTTTTTTTTTAAATTATACATAACTACCTTGCTTTATTGAAAATGTTTTTGTTTCGTCTCTGGTTTGTTTGCTTTTAGTTTAGTTTTATTTTTAAGTTATCTGGTTAGTTTAGTTTTTCTTTTAGTTTTATTGTTTATCTTTTAAAGTTGGTTTGAAAAGTATCGTCTGGTCACTTGTTTTATTTTCTTTAGTGTTTGGTAATTTACTTGTTTTATGTGTAAAAATTAATTAATAATTTATGGTGCTTATATTTTAATTCAGTTTTTGTTTTGATTTCTTTTCTGTTTTGTTTTGTGTGTATTTTTTAAATGTCTAGTTAGTAAATGTAAAAGTTGTTTAGACTTGTTCATTTTTTAGTGATCTAGTTTTTCTTCTATGGTTTGTTTAGTAAAAGTTAAAGTTGTTTAGATTACTTTAGTCTGGTCACTTGTTTTATTTTCTTTAGTGTTTGATAATTTACTTGTTTCATGTGCAATAACTACATATTTAATGGAGTTTATAGTTTGGTTCAGTCTTTGTTTTGATTTTTTTTTTTTTTTTTGCTTTATCTTGTTTTGAGGTTATTTTAGTTGTCTAGTTTGTTTAGTTTCCCTTTTAGTTTTTGTTTGTTTATTTTTAATTTGTTGTGATTTTGTCATTTGTTTTGTAAAAGTAAAAGTTGTTTAATTACTTTAGTCTGGTCACTCGTTTTATCTTTTTTAGTGTTTGGTAATTTACTTGTTTTATGTGCAAAAAATACGTTTATATTTTATGACATTTATATTTTCATTTAGTCTTTGTTTTTGATGTCTTTTATGTTACTTTTTTGCTTTTTTGTTTAGTTTTTCCTTTTAGTTTTTTGTTTATTTTTTAAATTTGTTAAGATTTCTTATTTGTTTTATTTTGCGCATTTTGTTTTGTTTAGTGTTTGGTATTTTAGTCATTTACTTATTTTTTTATGTGGAAAAAATTAATTAATATTTACTGTAATTGAATGATGTGTTTATAGTGAATATATTATTTAGTTTACAATAAATTTGTTTTTCAATGTAAAGTTTCATTTTAGCAGACATGATGTCTAGAATAATACCAGAATTATTATTTTTCTTTTTTTTTTCTTTTATTTTAGTTGTTAGTTAGTCAGTTAGTTTAGTAAGTGTTGCTTTTTGTTAGTTTTGTTATCATTTAGTTTTTTAAAATGAAATGTAAGTGAGATATTAATTTGGCAAAAAAAAAAAAAAAAAAAAAAAAAAAAAATATATATATATATATATATATATAGTAAAAGTTTAAGGTTTTCTTTTCATTTTTAACAAAATCCTTTCATATTCAGTAACCCCAAATCACACTCTAATATCCATCAAAAAGTTGCTCTACTAAACAAACATCAACACAGCATCTCAAAAAATGTATTACTTATATTCTCAACCGTTGCAGATGTAATCAAAATTGTCCTACCGTCAGTCTCTGGGCTCCAGAAGGCGAGCATCAGCAGCGCCACCAGCGCTACTACTTTGCTATCCATGCCAAGAGCGAGTGTGTGTGTGTTCTGTTGATCACAGCGAGTGTCCAGAGCTCAGTGTGGCGTCTCAGTTTGTGTGGAGTGTAAAGACTGAGGGCCGGCGGGACAGAAGCAGGAGGAGGAGGAGTGCAGGAGGAGGCGGAGATGCAGATCCCCCTCAAACCTGAAGAAACTCCTCAGAGCACTCAGGAGGAACTCGCTGTATTTCCTGACTCTCGGTTTATCAGCCACATATCAGATTCTCTTTTGTTATCATTAGTTAATCTAATCTAAAAAATTACTTTTGCAGCTTGTTTAAACTACATATTTAAAATGAGTTGAAACGACACAATTCTTACATTTAATTGGAGACAACATAATTGTTTTGTGTTCAATCTACTTACATTTGTAAAAACTTAATCAATTTGTGCTGGGACAACATGAAGGAATTAAATCAAATCAAATCAGTTACATTAAATACATAGTTTGAACAAGCAGCAAAAGTCATTTTTTGAGTGTAGATACTTTATTGATCCTGAAGAAAACTCAATTATCCTAGTAATCATAGTAGTAGTTAGCCTTTCATACATAAAATACATAAACACATAGTGACATGAAGACACACACACACACACAGCAAACAGGAAGGGAAAATTAATAAACAAAAAAAATTATAATAATAAGAATACTTCCTAATTGAAGCATCCAAGCTCAGCTATCAAAAAACAAAATTATGTATGATAAAGGAACTCACACTGTGTTTGTATGTGGTCTGTATCTATGTGTGTATGTGTGTGTGTGTGAGTGTGTGTCTGCTGTTAAACAAAAAGATATTTTAAAGAGTTCTGGTACACTGAAAAATTATTCATTGGATTAACAACTTTTTTAACTGGAAGATAACTGGTTGCAAACAATTTGTCAAATTAAATTGAGTAATGTTCAACTAAATCTGTTTGTTTAAATTCAGCCCATAGAAATTGTTTGCAAAAAATTACCTTTAAAAATGTGCCAGAAGCCATGGACTTACATAGTATAAAAAAATTACATCATTGGGTGCCAACGATAGCATTCTTCAACATATCTTATTTTGTGCTCACCAGAAAAAAAGAACTGATGGTAAAAACCACACAAGGCAGAGTAAACAATGAGTTACATACAATATTTGGTGAACTATCAATTTAAATTAAATGAACTGAATAATGTAGATAAGAAGTTCCCAAAACTTTTCAAACCGAGATCCTTAAATTAACAATGCCAATGACTCACAACTCCCAATATCCTCTGAGGTGGATATAAATATATAAATCTTGCACTCAACAGTGCACACATACTAGTAGGCTCAATTTTATTCATAGTTTAATTTTGGAAAACTCTGAGACCATCCTCCATGTTCAATTGAGGCCTGTATTTATTTTTAATGTGAGTGCCGTAAAGGTGTCTGAAAGTTTAACCTGGTGCCATAAAATCAATGTGCTGCATCTGACACTATTGCTGTGTCTTTAATATAATGTAATCCCCCCAGGGGTCGCAAAAAAAAAAAAAAAAAAAAAAAAAAAAACATGAAATGGCAGATGGCTTTTTATTTGCATGTTGTTTTTTTAGTTTATCATTAACGTCTTTCAATGTTACTATTAACTATTTTGTTCTTCAGTAGGTTCTAAAAAAATTATGGTCATTCTAATAGTTTAATAAAATGAATCTGGTTTTTGTAAATCACTAAGCGACTAAGCGACCCCCCGCCCCCTTATTGTTCCACGACCCACTGGGGGTTCCCGACCCCCACTTTGGCAGCCACTAATGTATATCACTATTAGGTGAAAGTTTGACACACTTTTGCTGTATCCTCATTCACTATTACCTACATTAGTCTACTAATATTAGTAGAGGAGACCATGCTGTGTAGTTTAGCGGTACAACATTTACACGATCAATCTTCTCAGTTAGAGTCAGTAATTTCTACTGCATTTACTCCTATTGAATAAAAAGGGGTATTACAAATTACTCAAAATGTAAATACAAGTTAAAGCAAATCAAGTTTGTAATCATGTGAAATTCTTCAGATAATTTTACAGACATTATAAGTGTAATTACTTGTTTTCGATAGTAGGTTGCCATTTTTTTATATGGTAGGGGGCAACAGATGAATATAAGCCCTTGTGAATAACTCTAGCTTATTTACAGTTTTTACCAGCCTGATCTCATGAAAATTTTACATGTCAGTTTAGTGGTTAATTTGTACAAATTTTTATGAGTTCATTCGTGTGAAAATGTAGGGTTTTAAAAAGAAGGGGTGGCACCCAACCCCACCTCTAAACCTAAATGTCATTGCATGGTGGATAATAAAATTATACTAAATTGTATGAATGAGATCATACAAATTCACACAAATTAGCCACTAATTCACTGTTACGAACTGGTGTTCGATTGTGTTGGTTTTTATGGATAATTAATGAGCTTAGACCCTGATAAATAAAATAATAAATAAAATATATAAAAGTCAGGAGTGAAGGGTGTTTTAAATGGACTGCATCTCACTGGTTTACCGGTCTAGCCTGAAAAATAAGCTTTTAGAGGCATGTAACCAAAGTTGGCTTTGGTAAAGCTACACTAACCATAGTTTAACTATGGTATTAGTAAATTGTAATCAACAGGCCAAAATAAACAAGGTTAACATATGTTTATAAAATTTTTTTCAATTTTTGAAATGGTTGTCTTGAAGTGAAACGTCTGTTATCATTTACTCATCCTCCACTTGTTCCAAACCATTTTGAGTTTCTTTCTAAAGTTGAACACATAGAAAAATATAAAGAAATTTGTTGCGGAAAAAAGAGCATAACATTTTTTTTGTTCCGCTATGAATGTTAGTGGCTACTTTTTGTGTGTTTTGTTACAGTAGTTTACAAATCCCTCAGATGGATTCGATTTTGAGCTTCTTGCTCAGACCATGGGATAGTTATTTATCACTCAGACAGCTGTTGATTAGAAATTAAACAAAGAGTTTTGATTTCTGTCACATATGCAAACATTACTAATAAAATAATAGATTATTTCTAAACTTAAACCAATAGGATTTCGGTTTAGATGCCATCTAATCTAACACATTGTGACGTTAAGTGAATTACCAGCATAAACAACACAACACTTTAACTCTTTAACAGATGATGGTTTTTCCACCTGTGTGTTGATATTGTTTGTTATTTGCACTAAACATGTTCTTTCTGATGATCTGCGAGTGTCACAGAGACATACCAGTCTCTCAGCGGCCTCAGAAGTGTATCATTAACACTACACAGCTCTGTTTGACCTGCAGGTAGTTTTGTGTCTCGATAACTATCAACAGCCTCTAAAGTTTACAGCCTGTTTAGGGTTTTTTCTCTCAGCGTGAGGCTCTGAATGAAGCCTGTTAAAAGCGTAACACAGAGTCTGCGTTTGAAAACTACTTCACCAGCCGCTGCTTTATGGAGACACTATAGCAGATTTCAGTCTGTGCTTTTGTTTAGTTTTTTTAAAAGTATTTTTGGGGTTTGTTCAGTCGGACAGGAGTAGTTTATTCATGTGTTTCTATTGATGTGTTAATGGGAATTAATAATGTCACGGATGAGTTACGCATGGTTTCACGATGGAGAAACTGAATGTCAAACTGGCTTGACATGTCTTGACGTGTTTAATGAAATTTAAAATGTTTGGCAGAGTAAATTATTTACAATCAATGTATTTTAATCATTCATTTATTCCTTCGGCTTAGTCCCTTATTTATCAGGGGTCACCACAGTGGAATGAACCGCCAACTATTCCAGCATATTTTTTATGCAGCGGATGCCCTTCCAGCTGTAAACTAGTAGATTTCGAGACGTTTTTCCTGATTCAAACCTAAATGGTTTTCACTGGTGTTAAGCAGAAGAGTATAATTACTCCATAACGTTAGATTGCACTATACAACTTTAAGCTTCTGACCCAAGCTTGTAACACAGAAGAAGAAGACAGAATGTTGACAGGCTTGTTGTTAAAGTTACTGGTGATTCGCATTGATGGTTCAAGTGGCAGTTCCAGCTCTAGCAATGAAGAAATTAAACTTTTCACCAGTGCAACAAGCAGCTCCACATTCATATCGCCTCTGGGCATCTTCTTCAATATGTGCTCGCAATGACAGTTTTGCGCTTGAGCGCCTCCAAATGCTGCTTACTGTAACTTTACAAGCTCCGTGCACATGAACAAAAGTGCCAATCTGATTGGTTTTGACTAGCATGAGGTGTTTTACGCCATGACTATTTTACGCCTGACGTTTTGCGCGTTGGTCTGCTCGATCACATTGGCACCCTTCATTTAGTCACGAGGTGTTAAACGTCAACGAAAAAAGCAAGCAAATAGCATCCCGGTGTGCACGGGCCTTCACATTGACAAACACTTAGTTCATCCAATTCACCAGTACCTCATGTCTTTCTGTGAGGCGACAGTGCTAACCACTGTGCTACCTTGTCGCTCGTATTTTAATCACTTATAAATATTAATTCTATATAGTACATACTTATATCCCAAATGTTTCGAAGACTGTTCAAATCCTGAGATCCTAAGTAGTGTTTAACAAGTGACAGAGACTGTCCTGTGTGTTCATGTAAATGATGTCACACACCTTTGATTTAAAGTTGGTTTTATAGAAAACATCATAACACCAAATACGCTTGAATATGTTGTGTGTTTTATGAGCCTGCACAGAGCAGCATTATAACAGAAGACAAATGTATTTTGTCTGAAAATATGATGCTGCTTTTTCTTCATGTGATTGAGCAGAATATCTAAGCGGTGGACTGTAGCATAATAAAATCTCTGCTGCTTTCGTCTAGTATCACTCTCTTCTGTTATTTACATTTGTTTTAGTGCTCTCGTTTCACTTTAACAGCTTTCAGCCTTACTCTGCTTCATATTACCATGATATTAAGTGTCGAGTACTTTAGCTCATCTATGAACATGATTCTTGCAGGAGTCCTGTGTGGTGTAATGGAGATGTGATTCCATGATTCCACACTGTGCCTTTGTTTGTTGTGAATATATGCCCTCTAATTACACACTGTGCTTCAAATC